TCGAATTTATTAGCAAGAGTTGCTAAGATCATGAATTTAAGATGGCTTAAAGACACCTACATTATATGCAGTTACAACAGAGGTTACTGAATCAAATGACAGAAAAAATCTCAAAAAGACACAGTGTATTTCCAGCCAGAGGATAATCATGGAAGAAAAATATAAGATAAAAAAAAAACATAACAAGTTCGAACACGAGTTTAAAATGACTTTTTTTTTATCAGAGGATGTTGAAACGTTAGGGAAAAACGGTGGGGCAAGTACATCAATTTTGGCTCATTTTCCCAAATCGAAATTATCAATCATGCTCAATAGAATATAATTTCAACTGAAGCTTGATGCCGACATCATGCACTTCATCTGAAGAAGAAAACATTCCCGACCTTCGAAAAATGGTCAAAACATCACGAACAATAACTTGAACTTGGACCTTGAAGGTACTACTGACTAGCATGCGTGTTGATCGCTTTGCAAGTTGCGAGAACATCGTCCCAAGGTTGCAGACCTCGTCAATTCTCCTCCCCCCCCCCCCCTCCCCCTCCTCATTCCCCGGACTGGTCACTATTAACATCCCCTTGAAGAAACTCTTCTACAGCCAGTGATGAAGAGGTGTATAACAGTTTTCATTACAGTGAAGGGCTGGAAAACAGACTAACAAGAGCTCCTCTTTAAGGCTAGGCTAAATCTATATATTATTATAATAAAGTTCGGATATAACGCGCGCTGTCATTGGTTGAAAGAGCGTGCTCTATGAGAGTATAGAGCATAGAGCTGAGCTAAAGCTGTCACGCCATCTGCCAAATTGTACCATGTTCGACCTTTTCCGGGACTTCTTTTTAGCTTTATTCCGATAATTGAAAGTGAAATTTCGGAACAAGCGAGCCGGCAAGAAGAAGAAAAATCAAATAAAGGTTTGCAAACATACTAGGCGCCGTAATTTACGTTATTAAAACGTGAGCAGATACGAAAATCCTCAAAGGAAAAACAAAATAGACATTCAGAGTTTTAAAGATTGATTCACGGTCAGTTAGATTGCAAGCTTACGTACGAAAATAAAAATCAAACACAGCTAACATTCATATAGTATATAAAGTTCAGTGTTCAAAAACAAAACAGAACAAAACAGAAATGATGAAAAGTATAACCAAACTGGCATAACTGTGAAAATTCATTCTAATCATGACGGTGTCTAGGCGAATATGATCATGCTGAAGTCCATCGCGGCTCGCTCGTCATGCGATCTCCGGTCATCAGAATAAAGCAAGCCTCAGAAACAACATCGGCCACCCTTCTAGTGAAAAAATAAGAGCTTATTCTGATATCCTTTCCGATGCGTTGAGTGGAAAGTCACATCTGTCACTGCAGCCGAGTTTTGCCGCGTTGTCATCCCGAGCGATCTTCATGCTCCGGTGAATTCGGCTGTCGTTCACTCAAAAAACACTCGCCTTGAACAGTTTGTTTTCTACCTTGTCTTGTGAAAAAAACTCGCGTGTTTTTATGAGCCATAACTCGGTTGAAGTTCACTGAACATTTCACTTCAAGATTCTGTATTAGAGACTTAAAAACTTCAGGCAAAAATGTTAAATTCGACTTGCCGAACTATTTTAGTTTGTAAACTATCGTAGAATGTGAACTTTGATGGTTTTTTAACTTTGATGGTTTGACACTTTTGACAGCTTTAGTCTTGTACAGCTAATCAGATTATTTGAACCATTCTAACAGGGATTCTGATTGGCTTATGGTAGCGTGCTTTATGAGAGTGTAGAGCATGCTGACGACACTATTGTTCGCTTTGGAAATAAAGTTTGTTTTGAAAATTGAAAGAAATGCTTGGGTAATTTAACGGATTCTTTATTATAAAACAAATAGAGAAGCCTTGACTGTGCTCTGTTCTGTTATAAAGCACGCAGAAAGCGGCTAGAGCACGAAAGAAGTAAGAAGAAACACTCGACTACGTCTCGTGTTTCTCCCTACACTTCTTTCGTGCTCTAGCCGCTTCCTGCGTGCTTTATAACAGAACAGAGCGCAGTCAAGGCCTCTCTATTTGTTAAGTAGTAGTGGCAGCAGTAGCAGCAGCAGCAATAGTACGTAGTAGTAGTGCTAGTAATAGTAGTAGTAGCGGCTATATGCTTTGTCTGAAAACATGACTCGCTATCCACTTTCTCGAAAAAAACCCGGTAAACACGAGCCGCTTTTAATTTTTTTTTGTATTGAGCAAACCACATGCAAATGATGTCAACCAGAACGAGCAAAGGAGCCCGTCACGAAACTTCGCTTTCGACAAAAATGTACCTCTTATAGTAAAGAACACAAGACATTTAATTTTTGCGACTGTTTACGGAACAGTTTGATCCGTGATCGTATTGTTCTCGGAATTAAGAACGAGCAGGCTACGATCTTACGTTCTGGAACTCATTAATTATTCGTGAGGTTATCTGCCAATGAAGGAAAAGTATTTCGTCACATGCATGAATCTAGATATTCGATAAAAACGCATATCCAGTGATCTGGATATATGAAATGCAAACAAGAAAAACTACAAATTAATTAAATTCGACTTGCCGAACTATTTTAGTTTGTAGACTATCGTAGAATGTGAACTTTGATGGTTTGACATTTTTGACAGCTTTAGTCTTGCACAGCTAATCATATTATTTGAACCATTCTAACAGGGATTCTGATTGGCTTATGGTAGCGTGCTTTATTAGAGTATAGAGCATGCTGACGACATTGGTGTTCGCTTTGGAAATAAAGTTTGTTTTGAAAATTGAAAGTAATGCTCGGGGAATACTCCATTTGTTAATTAGAAAATAATACATCTTCTTGGATGGCTTTGATTGAAGTAATTTTATGTAATTATTCTTATATTCTGAACTCGATGATTTTAAACATTGCAAAAGGTAATGATTTTGGATGTATGAAATTCATATATTTGCACAGCGGTGAAGAAACGAATTTAAGAGATCCTCGCAGCTAAGAACGCAACTGAACTAGTAGTTGAAAAAAAGGTCCTGAAAAAAAAAAATGGGATGACCTCTGCGATACCGGTGTAGCGCTATATCAACTGAGCTAACAAGCCAACTGGGAGCTGGAAAATATGTTGGGTTTAAATAAACCATCCAAGTGATGAATAATGATTTTGGATATATGAAATTCATATATTTGCACTACGGTGAAGAAACGAATTTAAGAGATCCTCGCAACTAAAAACAAGGTGTTATTAAACAATTTTTTTTTACTGTTCTCCATGCATTTTTTTTATCAATGGGAGTTTCTTTCCATGTTTTGACCGAAATAAAGGTTATTTCATTTTGTCCTTAATTGAATTTCTTTCATCGAAACAAAATCTTGCTCATGGATTCCTTTGCTAAACGTCTTGCACTAGGGCCAGGAAATTTTGTGGTTTTAAAACTCATTCTCTGTTGGTGTTCCTGATGACAATAAGTTGGAGCATAACCAAGCACGTTTGCATGTGGAGGAGACGCATTGTTTTCTTCACTCTGCGGTGTCGGTAGTAGGTTCAATAGCTGTTTCACCATTTTGTTATTACATTTCTTCTTGACTTACGTACTCCTGGCCAAAAATAAGTCTTAATTTGCGCTTTCGTAATCTACCTTGAGGGTTGACGTTCGATATTAGCGGGGAATATCTCGAAGAAATCCGAAATGGAAGGGGAAGGAGTGGATGTGGCCGTGGAGGCACGTTAAGTGCATAGCAGCATGGATTTCCCAACTTCTTACTTGTTTCGAGAAGCTTTTATTCAAAGCAACCCTCTCATTTACACGGCTTCGCGCTGGAAATACGCTGCTATTTCATCCTTCTTATCACCCATGGGCTGAAACCGTTAGTCATTTGGACGATTCATTAGGGATGAAGCAGTATCGCTGAAAATGACCTTTTTTCTTACGCACAGATACATAGTTGCAACGTACCGAAACGAGCGCTGAAAAACTTGGGGGCTTCGGACGACATGTTGAATATATCATTGTTGCCTAAATAATATGTACGTGAACGTGAATCTGAGCAGCGATTGGTTACTGTTTTGTTTTGGTCAGGGTTATGAAATTTGATACCTATAACAGACTTTTGGACACAAGTGGTTAACAATTTTTGCACAAAAAAAGGAATGTGTCAGAAGGGGCAAAGGGCATTCAACATCGCCTTGGTATACTACGGAGTCACTATTCATCCATTTTACGGTTTGTTTAAGAGGTAAGAGATAAGGGGTGTATGATAACTGACAGATGGCCTGGTCGGACGAAACACCAGAAAAAAAAATGATATAGATATCCTTCGGGAAAAACACTCTAAAACTCTATTATGAATACCTCATCGGATCGGGAAAAAGTCTTCCACGTAATATATGACTAATAAACAAAGGCTGTGAAGACGCGAAAACTGAACTTGGCAAAAAGTGAAAGTCAGGAACAAAGAAAATTATGTAATAATCATTGTTCTCAATTAATAATCTTTGTGTTTTGTTAACACCCCAATGTATCTTGATCCTAAAACAGTCTTTCCAACATGGCTGACATGCAACGTCACATGTGCTCGATTTTAGTGGTCTACATTGCATAAATGCGCGTTGTCTAACTCCTTACCGTGTTAATTTCCACTCAGTCCAAACAATTACTTACACCCGTCACTACTTTGATCGTAGATACAAGGAATCTCATATGAAAGTCACCAGAAAAAAATGAAATGATCAACAACTAAAGAAACTATTGATTGCTAAACAAATTCTCCTTGTCAGCACCTTATGAGATGCGAGGAGAACTCTATGAAGAATATGCATAATAATGTCGGGGTTAATCAAACTAACGGGAAATTACAACGTTTATAACAAGAAGGGTTTTATAAGAAAATCATCGCACTTAGAAACGAATTGCGAAATTATTTTAGTTCGATTCATCATGTGGACTCAGAACAGTAAGAATTGATACAGAAAGGCCTTTTTAAGGCGCTTCAAAACAAAAGCACTCAAATAATAATACCACGGCTTTTATTAAAAGTAAATTTAAATTACATTTAATTTTTAAACTAAAGCCATAATTGATTGTATAATCTAGCACACAATCCTGGTGTGTATAGTTTGAAATCTCTCTGTGCGTCTAACATTATGGAGCAATTTTCAATTGGGTGTCGATCGTAATCCGGGATTGCATTTTGCTTTACTTTGCTCTGTGATTGGTCCTGGAAAAGTCGCCACCAATCAGATGTAACACTACAGCCGTCGCCTATGTTTTCCTGCGCTCAAGGCGGTTTGCTTGTTTTTACTTTGAATACTCATTGGCTCTTTACGGTATTTTGCTCTCTTCTGATTGGCTGTTGTGATTGCTTTGGTTTTGGTTTACGACACTCAATCGAAAAGCACTTCAAGAACAGTCACTCACTATTCATCTTTAGTTAAACCAAACTAATTACAAATTAAGTGATAAAGCATAAGTAAAATTCTTCCAATCCTTTCAGGCAACAACGGTTGTATTAAGACGATTTAAAATTTCCTATATAACGTACGTGCTTTCATGTAATTAAGCGAAGTTATTCAGTAAAACTCGCATTGCGTAATTAGTAAAAATTCTCACAACCAAGTAAATAAATTTAGTATACCTTGTAAAATAATTTTAATGCTTTCTGTTACATTCTCATTTTCATCACACGTCTTGTTCTTTAAATTGAAGTCACTTTAAAAATATCTTTGTTTCTTGCCTGTACTTCACAGTCATTATTGTTAAAATTATTAAAATACTTATATTAATTTTATAAATTATTACTTTTTGGCAAAATATTCCGTAACCCCACCGGTTACTGTAAAATTTAGGGGACCATCATTAGAGATTCTGCTATGTTCTACAGGTATCTTAGAAAGATGCCGACGTTCACCATTGTCATCTTTGCATAAGAGTCCGGCGACGAGGGGGGGAAGGGAGGGGCTGGAATGGTAACTTTAAATAAAGATAGTGCACAGAGCACAATCCTCAGGTTAATTTTAACTAAACTCTTTGGGTCTTATTTAAAAGCGCCTTGCATTTCCTTTAAAGTCAGTTACCTGATTGGCACATCATATGAGTTAACTTGTTCAAACAGCAAGACATACCAACCTAGGTTTAAATAATATTTTAAAAGTTTTCCATGAATTCACGCTTTATATCAGAGAAGTAAAAACACAAAACCTTACTACGTGACTAACTCACACAGCTTCCTGAGATTACTTCGGTTTTCACGACTGGAGGTGCAAGGGGTGTAGCCTCCTCCCTTGGATGGAGTACTAATCCGTCACAGGTTAACCACCCTCCAAGTATTTCCACACGTTTTTCATACGCAGTCATACCCAATCATACCCATCTATGACGGGTGGGGAGAGGCACTTTGGGACTGAATTGTCCTACCCAAAAACAATACTCTGACCCCGGCTAAGAATTAACCTCATGTAGAGTCCCGCGGGCTCACCGATAAGCCACCTGTTCTCCAATATTCCCCGAAAGGCGTAATAATAAAGGACCTAGCATTTCAAATTGAGGAAGATATAACCAAACGTTATCTGACGTTGCTCTTTTCGGAAGCAACGTGTCGCTGGTGATCTTCTCCCCTTTCCTTTCTACTGCCATAAAGGATGATGACTTCAGTGTCGCCTTGGTGACCATGGCTATCGAACATGTCCCTCCTATAGGAATTAAACAAGTCCCTGGTTCCCCACATTCCTTTCTTTGAGTGAAAATAATGATAAAACTTGGGCACACGTAACCTCTCCACTTCCATCTTGTACTGAAGAACTCTGTAACAATTCAAACAACATTGCACTAATCAGAAGCCCTCAGAAGTCGAAAACAGCTACATAACTAGAGAATGAAATTTCCAAAGCTTGGAGATTTTTGTTAAGACAGGCGATGTTTAAGCCAATTGGCCGGGGTCAAGACTGCCGAGAGCCGGCATCAATAAATAAGCCTTTCTTTTCCCTTTCTTTGAATCGATTCAGATGAAAAAAAACTTAACCACGTAATCAAAGCATAAGTTTAAGTAAAGGCAAAGTTGGTCTGCACTCGAGCCAAGATGACCATAAAGCGCTAGGGTTTTATCCCGGTCTCCGAAGCACGCGGCCAATGAGAGTGTTGCCAATCCCCTGGGATGGGATGCTACACTGGATTCAACACATGTTACCCCACAGCATTTCGTTAGGCATCCATGGCAGTTCGCCGCTACCAATATATTCTCCTGGGTGGAGAGCAAGCGGGGGTAAAATTTCTTGCCCAAAACCCCAACCCAGACCACCTTACCCGGAGTGCACCAACCGTTAAGCCACCGAGCCTCCTCTACAGCTCAACGTGGAAAGAAAATTCCAATTTGCCACTTGCTGTGGAGGCTCTCACTAAATATTCTAACATAAAATTGGGTTCATCCTTGACGTGCAAACTACTGTGATTTGAACAGGTTGAGTATGTGTGTCAGTTTGATTTTTGCTTCGTAGCAAAATACTTCCCTCTGCTAACTGTGTTGCTACCATGAATTAACACCCACCTGTCTAATAGTTCCCAGTCCTCTCCTCCCCAAGTGGTTCTAAACTCCTTGTAATTCATTCCACCAACTCGAGTGAAATCTGACTTGTACATGGCGAAAAGACCGTAACCTTGAAGCTCCCAAAAACCTTTCGTGAGCGGAAACAAAATAATCAGTGAAGTAACATCATACTGTGAGGATCAATGAAATTCGTTTCTTCAACCGCGGTATACATATACGATTTTCATATATTTATAGTCAATGTAAACATCAACATGTTAGAAAAATCTATCTGCCACTGGATGGTTTCTTCCCCCCAAAAGAGGCCTCCCCCAGCCCCACCCCCTACCCTGCTGAACCATTTTACCCCTTGGGTGACTGGTTTATACTTTCTCCTTACGGTATAGCACTTGAATCAAATGAAAAAGTCACGAGAATAAAGGAAAGAACTACCGATTTAGGAAGCTCCTCACTGTTACACACAGTTCCTTGTCAGTTCAAGAGGAGGAGTACAGAGAACAGAGTGGAGAATATGGATACCAATGTGAGGGTTTAAAGGATTATACACAAGAATGCATAAAAGGGATGTGGCTTCACATATATCTGATACTTTTCCCTTTTCCATGCTTTTCTACTCCTCTGTAGGTAAAACTTAGAACTCATCCGAAGAACTTCCACCAACGAGTATTCTGTTTGCCATATGAACCAATGGACTTTTGAGTCCAACTGAACCCGCATAACTTAGCTTATACAGCAATGAGCAACTTGTTCACTTTCACTATTAATTACATCATCAAAAAAACAATCTTACCAAAGGGCAGTGAAGGAGAAAACCCACAATGAAGTCGAGCAACTATCGGAGCAAATGCCATCTTTCCTTGAACACAGTGCTGAAAAGAACACAAACATCCTTTGCTCCCCTCATACTCATTTAAAAACCGAGCAGACTTCTTCTACCATTCACGCAACTGAAGAGAACTACGAATACGGTGGTTTTTAATACCAAATTTTCCGCACTCAAATACAGAGACATCAATGCCAGTCACATAAGGGGAATTCGCACACAGTTGGACGAGAAAGCCCAAACGCCTTACTGTTATCTGATCCCACAAATGCACGTTTAAAATTTCCATTCCCCAGTCAGGAAACGTCTGCTAATTGTTGTCCCATAGCAACATCTCCCACGAACTCGCGGGCCCTACCTCTTCTCCGAAGAATGCAAACGACAAGCTTTTCCAAACTAATAATCGAACAAGTCACTTACCTTTCTAATAATGTCGACGATGTTACTTGGAATTTGAAGATGAAGATCACACATGAAAATTATATCACGGGTATTCTAAAACACAAAAAAGCTAAGTCAAGTCTCAAGCTAGGAAAGTATATACTAAACGGAGAAACAAGTACGTATTCTCTTATTTCTGTCAATGTACTGCAAAATGGTCGGAAGTGAAACTTTTGACGCGCGATATTATCTTTTTGGTTACTCCGACGATAACAGTGCCTGCTGATCACATATGAGCTGGCCAATCAGCGTAAGAAAAGCACTATTCACCTCCGTGGTATATAAGAATTGAGATTAAACCCAACAAAAAAGCAACCAGCTCTTTCCATCAGGTTATCACGTAGACAACCATTTGCTGATGCCAAAACCAAAAACAAAATTTAAATAAAAGAAAAAGGAACAAGGATTGTTGAAGATGGCGAAAAAACGGAGCGGACCGCATGTGTCTACATTTCTTAAGATGGTACACAAACCTTTAAGAAAACGACTCCACACTTCTTCTCTTAATCACTTGTAAAAATATTCCTAACTCGATATTCACACAAGACGTCCAAGCCCCAAAATGTACGTAACATATGGCTAGGCATGAAAGATCCTCAAAACCTTATACTCCAGCGATCTGCTTTCACAGATCGATCGTCTAGAAGTTTATGCAATTATTGATTGACTTCTTAAACAAACCTTAACTAGCGCCGCGCCAGCTTGAATGCCGTATGCTCTCTGAAAAGGTCCTTTTAATTTTCTCACTTGGTATCTAAAAGTGAAAAAGATAAACACGAAGACTACCTCAGTAAGTTTCCAAACAGGGACATTAAATAATAAGACTTCAAATAAAAAAGTAGTGTAAAAAATGCCCCTCACCCAATCAAAACTAGAAACAAAATCACATGATTGGCCAATACTGACATTCTCGGTTCGAAAGTGGAACATCACTGATAAGCTGCATATAACCGTAATTCCCCCTCTGTCTCTCATGCGAACATTCACCTTTTCCTCAACCTTTAGGCGGGGCGAATTAATACTGCTAACCCAGTGTGAAAATTTGTGCAATCTTCAATAAAAACGCCCCTTCAACAAAGTTTATTCTTATTTTCTTGATTATTACCAGGATCCATGATCGGCTACGATCCTTTTTAGAACTAATTAACACCTTCTTATTCACCTTTTCAACTGGCTTCGTTCTAGGGCAGCTTCCACATCAATGTCTGTGCTACTGAAGTCCACAATGATAATGTTTACATGAGGATCACCTGTCTCTAAGTACAGCTGAAGAAAAATATACGCAACAATTACAAGGATAAAACATCATCTACCCTCAAGAAACCCGGAGCATAAAATAAGACAAGACAAGACGAAGGAACAATACTGAAGTAACGAGTTTGTCCCGGTTTAATGAAAATTGAAAGTCAACAAGTCTAGAACTACAAAAGCCTTCAAAATTTCAGAGGGGAGCTTAGACCTCTCTAGGAACAAAAGGTTCTCCAGGCCCTCAGAACTTCATCCCTGCTATTCTAAACTTCACATTCATAGCAAATTTTATTGGAACCACCTATTTCTGGTGGCAAGCCGGCTCACTTGCGGTACAAACATCCATTCTTACCTCCACCATGTTATCAATAAAATGCTGCACCCATTTGCCTTGATTCTTGACTGAAAAACGTACAAACGGGGACAATAAAAACCAGGATTTTGAACACATGCTCCTTAGTAGGTTACAGCAGTACCTCTCTTTTTCTCCAAGAAGCTTCCCCTCCCCCCTTCCTTCCCAAAAACTCTTAACCTCTTTATCCTTTTGACTTATAAGAGCGACCAGCATCTAATGCTCCCAACAATATCAGTTCTGAATCACGCATAAAACTTGAGAGATTAAAGGAAAAGTTTACCATCTAAAGCAGCTCTTGATTGTTAAACGAATTCTCCATGGGAAATGTATGGAAAACAGTATGAGGAATATACATACCGATTTTAGAGTGTACAGGGGCAAATGAAAACAAAGGGAAGATAAGGAGGCCTTGACGAAACTATACAATTGTTTATCACGCAGTATTGTTGAACATTTAAGCTAAGTGGTGTTGCAATTTAAAGTCATCTTGTACTAGAAAGCCTGTTTTACTTTTTGTTTTAACATTATAGGCTTTCCAACCAAAGAAATGCACGCAATACAGGGAATTTATTCCCGCTAGACGTAAGTTTAGAAAAAAAGTCTCAAACAAAAAGATTGTTATTTTCTAACCTGGAATGATAATGTGTACTGTAGCATGTTGATTCAGCACAAATCCCTCCGGCAAACAGAAATCCGTCTTGCCAATTTTCTGATAGACGTACTGTGACAACCGCACTGAAGAATCTGCGAAACACAGACAACCGCAAAGAGTTAATGAGGAGGCCTCAAGTTTATGGAGCAATTTTAAATACAATGTTGAGAGCGGTTTATGATTGCATTGGTTTTACTTCAATAAGTTCTCCGATTGATCCAGAAATTCGCGCCATTATCTTAACCAATCAGATTTCAAGGAAATGAGACTAGGCCATTTGCGTTTGCCCGCGCTTCAGGCAGTTTGCCTGTGTGAACTTTCAGTTCTCACTGCTCGGTCAACCAGCTCGGTTTACTGGTTCATATAAGGAGACCTTGAGACGATGAGTGTTACGTATGCGCGAGGGCAAAATCATCGCCCAGAGTATCGAACAGAAAACTACAGTGATCCCGTTACCTCAAACATTAACAAATATTTTGACTACTTACTTTTCCCTTCGACATCGAGCTCCTGAAAAAAAACAAAGAATTGTTTCAGTTCATAAACAAGGTGCAGTTTATTGTGTGATAAAATGGTGCTCGAGAGTTGTATTACGAGGCAAGAACGAGACACTATGCAATTCCCCCCAATCTTGAAATATTTTGTGCCTCCCTTTAGTTCAACTGCGTTTTCCAGTGTGTTTTCTTATATTTTTTTGAGTTAGAGAAAGTTACTAACAGTATTAAATAAAGCACTGGCTTACCAGGTCTATAAGATATCTATCTCCTTTTAACACATCGTGATTTTCTTCGACGTTTACGATATTCTTCAAGGAGTACTTGCTGAAAAATTCAATAAAATATCATTGTAAATAAACAGAAATAAAACTTATCTTAAAACTCTGACGAAAATCTCCATTAAAGCGCACTCAGAGAGAAAACCGAAAGAGACAGTTTCAATTGGCAGCTTCGTCGCGAATCGCTTTAGCGCACGAAAAACTGTAGAGCGCACAAAAAATCGCCAGCCACACAGGCAACTTCAAAACTTCAAAAAATTTCCCTATTTGCGATGTTTCAGTTCTAACCTGTTCGTTGCTTGTCTCAAGGCACGCATGTATCGATTCACAACACTGTTCGCCACCTTTGTACAGAAACAAAAACAAACATTATTAGGGACGGCGCTCACACATTAACTCACACCTGTTCAAATTGGAACCTTGACTTAAATGCAGACTCGGAAGTGCTTTTAAAATTCGGAATCACACGTTTAGAACTATAAGTTGGACCTGAGACTACATCACTCAGTCGATGGAAAAAAAGAAAAAAAAAAGCAGCTGAATAATATAAACTGATGTTCCTAACCCATGAGTGATCATGAAAAGATTTACATAAACAAAAACACCATAGTAAAGGAATTAATTCTCAAACGACACTTAATTCCTGTGATACCCTCGACATTTGGATAGACTAACATACATCATTGTATTTTACAAAAAGACACTCTACATCAAAACCAAAAAACCCTGAGCTCTTGATGCGACACGATAAGACCGGTCGTGTTTAATTTAAATTAAATCTACTTAATAAGTAGGAAAATTCCTTCAGAGGCAGATTGGATGACAGTCTCCACTTTTCTCCGCTTCCTAGGAAAACTAGTAGGTGTTAACTGCGTCCAAGTACTTACTGCATCATTCAGCAACAAGTTTCCATCACTTGCGCACATTGTCCTGTTTTGATGAAAAACCCATCCGTTGTAATCAGGGACTTTAATTATGTTAGGAATCTTCAACGCCACTCCGAATTTTCTGCGCACACCTTCCGCCAGAGTGCGCGAATTCACGCGATGGTTAAACATCTGCGCTGCGTACATCATCTTGCGCACAAACTCTCTCGCGGAGTTCATTCGAGTCATGCGATCGTCTTCCTCGTCAACAGGATAAAACGAAATACGTCCTCTAGTGCGCTGTTGTAGACTGTTGGAGCTTGAGTTCACCTCTCTCTGAGGAACTAGTTCAGCCAGGTTATATGAAATTGGAGAAAAACTTCTAAAACGTTGTCTTCCTGTCTGTACGACCTCGTGCAACGACCCATTTGAAACTCGCCTCGTGAAGGGCAAATGTCTCCTCGTTGGTATGGCCTCAAGGGACGAGACATTAGCAATTCTTTTCTCATTACTCATTGGTACATTCGTAGAAACCGTAATGCTGTCGATTGATCTCGCGCTCTTCGAGTTGTAGCTCAACAATTTACGCTGGTTGCCCTTTGAACTCACATAACCATTTGATTGGCGCATGGTATAATCACGTGAGGTTTCTTCGCGTGAACTGAGAGGCGCATCACGTGACTGTCTCTTTTCCACGACTTTCTCAACGCGCGAACGTTGCTGAGGCTTTCCGTCAGAATGTCTAATCCTGCTTTCATTATTCGTTTGCTTTTTAACAGACTCTCTTTTTCTTGAAGTCCTCTTTTTGGACCTGTCTATAGAAACGGCGTCTGAGCCTCTCCTCTTCACTCTTTCTTTCTTCTCAAAATCGTTCTCTTCATCATTTTTCTCTGAAGAGTCACCGGCCACAAAAGATGAATCTTCCATCGACTTAGAGGCCTGCTGGTCAGCGACTTGACTGAGTCTTTTCATATCCAGCAAATCCATTTGTGTCTCAAGTAACTGCTCTTTAACTCTCTCCTTCTCTGCTGCACTTTTCGCTAAAGACAAAGGCAAGAATACCTTGCTGTTCTTAAACACAGCTATACTGCCATCTTCATAGAGCATTTTTTTATACCTCGGGTTTGGTGGCAGAGAACTATTTCGCCTACCATGAGAATCTTCCTGCTGTCTTTGTTCAGATCTCGGTTTTGGTGGCGGTGAGCTCACCTGGTTGCCATGGGAATCTAGATTTCTCCATAGCGCGCATCGGTCGTATTGTCTCATGTGACTAAGCTCGGAATAATCATCGGGAAAACGAGAAGTGTCGTGAATCAAATGCACGCCTTCGTAACGCTTCAATTTGAAGTCCACCAAGTAGCTGGGATGGTAAGGACAAGTCGGGAATACGTTCTCTATATCGCGCTCGTCCACGAAATTTGCTTTATGTGCCACATCACGCAAATCTTCCGATCCAAATTTGTACACATCCTGATCCAGTTTTAAGCTCGTTCTATAATGCGAGTGACTCGGAAGGTCTTGCGGTATAAAATTAGCATACTTTGTTACATCTTTTGGAGCTATTGTATCGTTGATCGCCGCCGAAATAGAGGATCCAGTAAGATGTCTAAAATCATGCGAACCAGGCATCTTCCAGCCCACCAAAATGTGTTCTTGTAGATTTCCTTGCTTGTGCAAAGCTTCGATGAAGTACTTCTGTCCTTTACGAAGAAGCACTGGACGTGACAGCTGTGTTCTGTACTTATCAAATTGTGCAATTTTGGTTTTAAAGGTGCCACTGAGCAAAGTGCGATTTCCGACCCAAGCTATGAGTTTCACTTTTGAAGGAGTATCATCTGAACTCAACCAGAGCTCTGAACTATCGTCTGAAGAAATGGCAAACGTGTACTTCCCTGGAAATAACAAAAGCGAAACTGAGTATCCTTGATACTTGTAGCAAAGAGGATATTTTCTAAAGAAACTGTGTTGCTGCGTCCGCGGGGGTTTTACGAGATAATCTGGTTTATCAACTGAGTTGACACGGTAAAAGCTGATGCTTGGAACGCTACCCCTACGTGTTTCGCTCTGAAGAAGGGTAACGATTGAAACGTCAGCTTTAAAAACCCTTTACGGTGGCAAATTTACATTATCAACTCATTAGGAACACTGACCATTACAAACAATACACATTTGCGCCTTAGGCTCGATTACATCTACTGCTCGAGGAAAAGAGCTTGCATTCCTACGTCCGCTTCTCTCGAGGAAGGACCGACGATCACACCCGAGAAAACTTAAAAAGTAATAAAAGAATAAAGCTTTCTGCTATTTTAACAAATTCAATATAGTTCCTAACAGCAACATGCGGACTCCAAGCCTACGAGTCAAACTTGCATTTCGTTTCATGCTGCCGTCTATCATTAACGTTACAGACACGAAAAATGTCTGCCGTCTATCATTAACGTTACAGACACGAAAAAGCAGAATTTACCGAAATGGATCAAAATCCTCCTATCACAGCCCAGGATATGACCAAATGCCGAACCCCTGAAACGTAGCTCCTGTTTCGTGACAGGCCACAACATGATTGACGGCAGCGCAAAACAAATTTTCCAACAATCTATCTCAATTTTTTAATTCGCATGTTACTGGTACTTGCACGAGCGCTTGATACCTGAGACAGGGGGATGAACGTAACCAAATATTCTTTGTCCATAGTCGGCTTGCATGTGACGAAGAAAGAACTTCTTCACAGTCAAGCGAATGTCTGGGTACAGCGGGAAAAATCTGTTCCTACGCAAATCATGAATTGTGCTACCACACCAAGCTTGCCAAACGTGAACATTTAATGCGCCAACCATCTTGAAAATAAGAGACGTGATATTCAATATACAGTACAAGCATACAATATGGACATGAACAAGGATGTGTGAAGGACACAAAAACCAGACAATAAATTCTTTATAGACACAAGCAACAAGGCACACTTAGTTTTGAATGAACAAGGCACACTTATTTTTAAATATTAATTACTTTCCGCCTTATTAATCCTTATTAAAAAAAACTCTTGAGCCCAGACCCTCTCTTTTTTAACCTGAATATCAGTTCTTTTCATTTGTCCAATGAAATCATTGAACTGAAAAAGCTGATAATAGTTAAAACTACTCTTGAGTTACCCTTTCACACCTAAGAGTAACTAGTATCCAATTTCTCCTTCAGTACTGCTGACTCAAACATTAACCCTTTAACCCCCATGAGTGACCAAGACAGAATTTCTCCTTACACTATCAATACAATATCAATCAGATAAGTGATGAGAATAAAGAAAAATATCAATTTGGGAATAACTGGTTGATCCAATACCAAATGCTCCAAGCTAACATCACAAGATTTATATAGCAGACAGTAAGGAGAATTACTAATAAGATCTTGGGTGTTAAAGGGTTAAGGTCGTGACAATATAGAAAATGATCACCAACTAAAACAGCTCTTGATTGTCAAACCAACTGTCCTGGTCAACACCACAGCAAATGCAAATATTGCAATATAGAGAATATGTGTACTAATTTTAGGGTTTAAAGGATCAAATTCAAATGAAAACATGCAGATGCTGCATGACAAAGAGAACTACATTATGTGCATGCAAATGAAGCATCTTAAGAATTCAAGGGTTTATTAAAGATGATTTCCAAAGAGGTAATGGCTCTTGCACATACTCAAAGACAACAAAACCCAATAGTATTTATAATTCTTAAACCAAAGAAATGATCAAATAACAGGGTTATAAAAAGAAAAGACATACATTTTCTCCCCATGGAAATTTTGTCCAGGTGGGATTAGGTTCTTGATGGTGACCACCATGTAATTTCTTGCTGTGCATTTTAGAAGCTTTCCCTAATGCTTTTTTCTTTTCGTTGTGAACACTCTGGGTAGTTTCATTTTGAAGAGTTGAAAGCACCCTTAATCCACTGAGAGTTGTTGTACTGGGAGTGGTGAAATTCAATGCTTCACTTTCATTTGGCATTTGATTCAGTTTCCTTTTGTCAACATGGCCAATGTTCTCCCTTCCAACTGTCTCTCTCCATTTTCCTTTAAACAGGAATATTTAAAAGAAAATTAAATCCTTAACTCTGTCACTATGAGGAGTGACCAAATATGAATATTGCCTTGCACTATCCAAACATTTACAGGTAGAAAGGTAATGAGAAGTTAGAAAAATATAAACTTAAAAAAGTAGATTCCATGTTGCAGTGAGTCTGTACAGTAATACATGTAGATCACAGATAACATCAAAATGTGGAAAGAATAAAAAAAAGGGACACGAGGTGCTGTCAAGTGGATCACTGATGTTCTTACCACATTTTGAGACCCAAAGTGTTGTGGAATCTATTTTTTTTAGATAAAAAAGCAAAATACAGTTAATGGTGAAGTCATCTAACTGCATGCCTCTGTCCTTCCTTAGATCATAGGTATTAAGAATCAATTAAGAATCAGCTTAGTAAATAATAGGAAATATCACTTGATTTCACATCAAGTTCTTAGATCTAAAATTATAGCAAATGTATGACAGTCTGTGTAAAGAATTGATATTTAGTTTCTGAGGGTAAAAGGGTTAACAAAAGATTATTTGCAGAACAGAGAGCACCCCGTGGGTGGTATGTTGTTCTCAGCTTACAATTATTTTTTCTTTTGAACGTAATTTAATTCAATACCTTTGATACTATCAAGAAAAAGGTTACAGTAAGTGAAGAAATGATAAAACTTGGGTGGTGTGTTGTGTCTCAGCTTAGAAAATATTTCCTTTTGTAGCAAAATAGTTTCGACTGGCAGTAAAGTTCCATTCTCTCCACTAACTATCTATTACAACTGTGTTTACAATTTTATATGAACTTGATGTAAATGTACATTGTAGTCTCTACAAATCTCAAGACTAACCTTTGAAACAAACTATGTCAAACTAATGCACTCAAGAAAACTTTTCTCACTCTAACTGCATACTGTTCATGAAAATTGCTTTAGTTCTGCTTTTGGCTCAGTTTCCATCTCTGGAATGAGAAATTTCCATACCCCAGAACAAAAAACACTATGAGACACACAATACAATGTACTACAGCAAGTATTTTTTTTAGCAGAATATCTGCTACAGATGTCCAAGAAGAGAGTATTGAGTCAGTAATAAATCTATTGAACTCAAGGATGCCAAGTGTTTTTTTTTTTTTTTCAAACATGCCTCACCATTAAAAGTCTTTTTCTTCTCCACTTGGTGTTTTGCTTTCTCGTTAAATACTGTTTTCCAGTCATCTTCTTCATCACTGGCTGCATCCCCATTTTCATTTATTTCCTAGATGAAAAAAGTAATAGATTACATTAGAGCAGCAAGCTGCAGGAAATAATCACAGAGTGGGCATAAAAGTATTTTAAAACTGAAAGACTACATATATGTACTATCAGGCCACCAGCTTTTAACCCAATGAACCCTAGGAGTGACTGACATCTAATTTTTCCTTACAATATCACCTCTGAATTTCACTTTAAGGCCAGGAGAATAAAGGAAATGATCACCCGCTGAAGGATATCTCAATTGTGACACAAATTCCCTTTGTCAGCACCTCTAGAAATTCCTATCTCTATTCCTATTGAGAACTTCCTGGAGAATATGCATCATCTTGAATTGACACCCCCCTGACATTACAATAAACCTCCTCACTTTTGCCTTTCAAGCATATTATTTTTATGTTTAAAGAAAGGACAGACTCACAGCTATGAACAAGAGCTAATAGCAGGCTAAAACCACTGTGTAGTTTGCCAACTTGCAAGACATCAATTTTGAAAAATGGAAATCCCTCACAGATATTTCCATATCCAATTAATTTTTTTCAAAGAAGACACATGCCTACAAAAACATCATTTTTTTATTGCTGCCAAAGTTTTACCAACATTTAATGCCTTTGGGTGACAACATGTCAAGTTAGGTCAACACTCTGAAGACTGACGTCCTGCAGAATATCAGGAGACTCACAGCAAAAACATATTTTGCAGGACACTATCTAACAGTTGCTCATGACAGACCTTAGTTCTACTCCTCGTGACATAACTTGTTAATGGTTACTGGTCAAGTGTGAGCAGCAAACATTGCCCAGACCAAGAGCCCTTTTCCACTTCCGTTATATTTTTCTGCCATTCCTTGTTGGACTTTTTTAATTTTTTCTCTTACACACAGGCTTCTTTCAGACTTTCACCTAAGAATTCTTCACCTTTTTATCTTTCCCAATTCATGGTTGAGTTTTGTATGCAGACAGATAACAAAGATCACCAAGAGCAACTGAAATCAGGAGACATTTAGCTATTTGAAATTAAAGAACCCATATGTTTTCTCATGAAGGGCACTAACAAAGTCATCTGTGGTGACATGTTACATTCACAGCTTAGCAGGCAAAAAAATCAGGTTGAAAATACATTTTTCTAAATGACTGTTGAGCTTTTCAATATTTTACTAACATTTGTCTAGGAAACTGTGGTTAAAATAGCAATTCTTAGTTGGACACACAAAAAAAATTGACTCTTGAAAGTGTACCAGATCATTTTCTTTTAGAGCGTGTTGCTAGAATATTATGTACACTGTAGGTCGCCATCAGAAAATCCCTCTTTGCTTTAAGAGCAAAATTTTTCAAATTGTTAATGACAATTAAAAATGAAAGGCTGAAAAGTCAACAGTATCACACTTTATCCCTCAATTGGCAACATAATCTAAAAGCTTTTGATCACATCTATTGAGTTACTGTCACCAGATGAAGTTTACACAAACTCCAAAGGATCAAACATTCAATTAAAAGTACTGAATATACTCCTGCGAGGGGTCCTTTTCTGCCGAAAAATAATCATCATTCGTTAAAAGTTAATTTAAGTTTCAATTACAGGAACATAGCATTTAAAATTACAGTAATGAAAATGTTTTTCAGAGACGATTTTATACACAGATACATTATGCAGAAGTGAAATCTTACTCTTTTCTTGCGCGCTACACGTTTAAATGAATAAAAATGAACCTTCATTTTCTCAGAAAAACAAAACTGTAGCAAGACCTAAGCTAAAAAAAAATTAATTGCCATGGGGAATTTCAGAAAATTATCATTGCAATTCTGCTTTTTGCATGGGTGACCAAAGTCATGAAGTTTTAATAATTAGAATTTTCATGATCTTTGGGGTGTTGTTTAGGTTGAAAGAGAAGCATAACAAATCTCCCTTAATGGCAATTATTATTTTTAAATCTTCAGTAAAGAAAGCAAATGTTGGAATTAAAAAAGGAAATGGTTATTACTGACGGGTCGAAGTAAAATAACGATCGAACAGTGATTCTGTAAAATCTAAACCTATTTGCATGTTTACATCTGGCGCAAAACCAAACAATCATATTTTCGAATGGATTAATATACGGGAAACCGCAGAGAAAGAATCCATATTCATATTTTTTTGGTCAATTGACGCTTGGGAGAAGAAAGAAAAGGCAATATTTCCTTGAAGGACCCTCAAATTAGATTTAGATAAACGCGTAACAATGGCGTGACACTGTGCTACTTGAAGTTCAGCCACACGTTCAACGCTCTTAAGCTGCTAAGCAAGTACAAATTCATAGAGCGTGACTCGAAACAAGAAATATAAATGTCTCTATCAGATAAACTATTTTGATAATTACAATAATACATTCGAGCAAAACGAAATGCTGATTAATTTTGTGGGATATCGCACATGTTATAAAGTGAAAGCTGATTAAAGCATTCCTTCACAAGGTGTAATTTATCACGTTGAAACATTCCTTCGATTTGTCGGAATGCTGGTAATTACTACATTCGCTTCCGTAAAACAGCAGAGTCAATTAATCGAGAAGCTTTGAATAAAAAAAAAAACATTTTTCCCTTAAATTCAAATCTCTCTGTTTCGCCAATACTGAGGTAAACTGATATGAAATCGCAATTACTAATATAGAAATCAGCTCATCAGACAGCGAGGTCTTGCGACATTCTAAAAATAGACCTTGTTCTGAAAAAATGAAATTTCCTTTGCTGTTACAGAGAAAAAAACGTCTTTAAATAACTATAACTAACTAAGCAAAAGGTTCGTTTCCTCAATCAATCAAAGATTCTTGATTTGTCTCAGTACGATACAAGATTTCACTCTACAATGGACCCTTGTATTTACCTTAAATATTTCATTAACATCAAATTCCCGATCAGGGCTTAAGAAGGTCTTCGATAGGTCTTGCTTCTCCACATTAAAGGACGTTTTTGCTGAAAATCAAAATCAAAGAAAACAAATCATTAACCAGACAAACTCTTCAATTTTTTCGCGATCTAAGGTACGATATTGACACAAGAATGTAAGCGTAAATGAACAGCACAAGTGGTTGGAAAACAACATTCAAACATCCAGTCAGGCGTAAATAGGAAACTTTTAAGGAATTTCCTTACCTCTTTTGGCAGTATTGTGCTTCTCCGAGTCCGATATCTCGTTCCATTGAAGAAACAGTAGTATCGTAGCGAGGAAAACAGCGAGCACCGAGAACTGCACCAAACGTTTCACCCTCCGAATGGCTACCATGCTGTTAAAATCATTTCATTTCAACCCATGTTTGCTCGATCGTTTGTTCGAAGGCCGGTATAATGTACACTAGATTCTTACACAAAAGAATCTAGTTTCCTGGGTATACTTATTGGCGAGGGAGGCATTCTACAGCAGACAATTCGCACTCTGCAGACCCATGAGTTCAATTACGAGTAATCACAATTTTTTAGGTTAATCTCAACAACATGCTCATCCGGGCACTTGGAAACGGAAGTGAAGTAAATGTTCCGGAACAAACAATAGCTTTGCAGGACAATAGCTTTACAGGTTGTCTAAATATTATTTACAAATGAAATTACTGAAATAGAAATCCTAACACAGTTCATCGGATTTCTAAAACCTACTTGTTCCTTCCTCACCTTAAAAATTTTTATTTTTTCCATCGACGCGGTTTGAGCTTCCAACCGCACTAAACAACAGTCGGCAATTTAAGCGCTTACGAAACTTTTATTCTGCACTGATAATTGTTGAATCTCATTTGCGTTGAAAGCGTGGAAAATCCGACTTCCGCGTTGATTGAATTTCGTTGAAGTATAATTTAAAATTACAAGTTTTAAGCTTTCGACTTTGAAAACTCACATTTCAGGTTTGTTAGATGGATCATCAAACAACGGGGCACCTACCTACTATCCGTCTTCAAAGCATCGCGGTTGAAGTGTTGGTTCTGGTCTGGTTTTAAGTCTCTCACCACTAAAAGCAAGGAAAGTCACAAATATCGGAGTGGCTTGCTTATCTACAAAGGTTATCTTTCGTCTTGAATAAAACATTGAAAAATCGTAGGAATTGACCGCCCGAAGCAGAAAAAACGTATTTCTATCAAGATGAATGCATCTCACTACACTTCTCTAAGTCGGGTAGATCACAAAAAAGGGAAAAACAAAAAAGAAAATCTTTTAATCACTAAATACTTTTTTTATAACTTGCTTGGCTTTGACATGAGCCAAGCTATTTTACATTTATTCATTGATTTCGTGAGAAACATGACAAAATTTATTTAAATTTTATAACAAGTACCAGCGGTTCCATATTTCATCAAAATGAAATGCACGAAAGAATCACAGAGCGACATCGCAAACACAATTTTCTGTAGTATCAGTGTGACAATATAACTGTTGCAGTTTCCGTGTTTCCTTCTACATGTTTCGCTCCAGCTACGTTAAAAGTATTTCCCCTTTTTACAAAGACACGTGATCAGTTTCCTAAAGGCGCACGTAGATCCGACATTGTTTAACCCGTGGTTTACCAGCAGGCCACGCTTTCGTAAAATAACAAGCCAATGTTACCCATTAGACTGCCCACATTGCATCAATTATTCACCGCACGGGTGATTATTTTAAGATGGATCTTAGCAGCCGACCTCATGATTTTGCTTTCGAGTCCCACATTTACAATTAAAAGACGAACTTACATCGCTTCAAGGAGGCTTTTGCATGTAGAGCCGATGAGATTGAAAAAGATGTTGGCAACGTCTTCTTTTAACCTGGAACCTGTTGTAACACTGACTTAAAGTCTTCTGATTAAATCTTTTTATGCAGCGCGTGCACTTAAAGATCGTTTTGCTTACATTTGAGAGAAATCAAAACTACGTTTGAATAATGATAGAACGAAATTCGAGAAACAAATGATAGAAAGTAAAATCTAGTGCAATTTTTTCCATTTGACTCTTGCAAGAGAGACTTACCCTACTACCCCTATATATAACATGAGCCTGAGGATATTTTAACTGAAAAAAATTTGCTGTCGCAAATACTTTGTTAATTTGTAGTCTCATAAATTATTACTTTCGCACAAACAGGAATTCTGTGATTTTGTCTTTATTTACAGGGTGTAGTTTAACAGGTACAAAAAAAATTTCTTACTGATAGTGAATTTAATGAACATTTTCCGGCCGTTTTGGATATTTTTACCTGAATGTAAATATGGCCGTGCCTTCAAGCGGTGATGGGAAACCCATTAAATCCACTCTACCTTTTCGAGTGTCTTGTAGCTTCATTTGGAATTCCCCTGTGTATAAGCTACATAGGCATGCGCCGCTTTAAGCCAAGATCTGTTTGTGAATCCTCCTCACTGGTGGCTATAAGAGGAGGACATTGAAATTTTGGTTATTTTTTAGACCGATTTGTCAGTTTTTGAGCCAAATCTCGGTTGGTGTTCATTGCAGTTTGCCGATTTTCCATTTCTTAGCATTTGGTTCTCGGTTTTAGTAAAAAATGCTATCGGGTTTTCGGATTTGGTATCCGATGTGGTTTTCGGGTTTTCCTGTTTGGTTTCCGGTTTCTCCTTGATCTGAGCGGCAAGTATGCGCCTCTACTGATCTTGAATAGCCATGAAACCTCTGTATGCTCCACTTGTCGCTGACTGTATCGGATCGATTAGGATTTTGATAACAGGGATGTGAAAATTTATCTGTTTCGACGGTTTGCGTGTGGTTTTCGGTTTTAATCGAATTTTTTTTTTTTTTGCGGTTCTGCGGTTTTGGATGATTTTTCTACGGTTTTGCGGTTTCTAATAGACCCTAATGCCCTCTCCTACTCACTTCTTTATAAATGAATCACAAGAATTTGGCGTCACATCAACAACTTATGCCTGATAAGTTTGAGTATTCTCATACCTGTTTGCTGGATAAAGTATGGATACTGAAGGGAGAAGTCACATGTTGATCTCTTCTGGGTGTAAAAGGGTTAAGAGTTATTATCTTGAGCCCTTTTGGTTTGAAAAGACTGCTTATCGTGATTTTGAATCGACCATGCGAGATCTCAAATGCATTTGTCTCGAATGGATAACGGAGAAAGTAACTTAAATTAATTAATCTACCATAATTCTGGGTTACGCTGAAACAATTCATGGTTCGTAAACAAAGTGCGACTCTTAAAAGCTTGATTTAAAAATGGGTATGGATTTTAGAGGCTGAAGGTGAAGACAGGTGTGGAAAGTGTCGTGTTTTTGGTTTGACTCTGGACGGAACACTCCTTCCGATAATTTTGTGGTGAATCAACCCTTGCCCCCTCTCCCTTCTGAGGATCTTCACTTGACGGGTGAACGCCTCTTTTTGATTATGGGCATCATGAAATGCGATAACCTTCCGACACGAATCATTTTGTCTTTTCTTATTGATGACTAATCGTGCTGTCTTCGTGTACGTTCTCAAACGAAAATCACCATAAACAAGATCGATCTGAGAAATTTGCGGACCTGAAGAATAACAATGTCCCTAAACAACGTGGCTATTTTTCTGTGAATTGATTTATACTGCCTCTTAGAAGCAACTTTTTTTAAGTATCTGTCAAACCCCTACAACTGCCTCCAGCCTTCTCTAAACTACTGACCGTCAACAGATATTTTCGTTGATGGCTGTCGTTCCGCGTTTTAGGATATTCTTTCATTCCGCGGTTAAGGGTATTGTTTCATCCTGTGATTTAGGAAATTCCACCATCCGCGTTTTAAGATATTTTCCCACTTTCCTCCGAATAGAGTAACGCTCAACAACAGGCTTGATCCTGCCCTAAGCTTGGTTGTCCGAGGAGCATATTTTCATTCACAGAAGTCGAATGATCTTAAAGAGAGATCTACTTAAAGTAATAAGATAACCCGATGAGAACTCAGAACAAGGGCTTCCTTCTCTTTTATTTCTTATTTGTTTGGTGTAAAGGACCCACATACAGCCTTGCCTTTTACGTGAGACGTGCTCCGGAAACAGAAATCTCACAAAGGTTCGGGTGAAAAAGAAACTTAAGACAGCCGCCGAGGACATTCAGACTGTAGGCTAAATTTCAAAGCAAGAAAAAGCCAACGTTACGCTGAACATGTATCAATACTAAAAAGGCATACGGTTACAGTAAGCTAAATAACAGGGAACAATTGAAAACCGTGACTTGCCACTAGCGCTTTAAATGTAAATGAGTAACTTAATGACGCTCGAAATCTCGACTGAATCTTGACTTTTAAAGCTCACCTTGCTTAACAGAAATGATAGGACCTCTTAAAATTTGTTGAAGTCATTTCGTTTTTAATTTTCTGGCAAGAGTGCTCGAACTTAACCAAGTGTCAATAGGTACCAGTCCTTATCATTGCCTGGACGAATTTTTGGGGATCACATGGTTTTCAGGGGGAAGGAGAGGGCATCAGTCGTCACCAACAGAGTATTGAGGAAGTACGAAAGAAGGTTGACTGCAAATTAAATGCAAATGATAAGGAGATTATAAAAATATTGCAAAGCCTTAGGGGAGGGATCAGGTAATTTTATCGTGACACAAACGAAATCCTCCGACCTCTCCATGGGATAAATAACGACCAGTCATTGACCGTTATTGTTAAGGTCAATGAAAAATATCAAGACTTCAACTTCTTTCCGTTTCAAATTAAATGCCAATGATTAGGAGATTATAAAAATATTGCAAAGCCTTAGGGGAGGGATCAGGTAATTTTATCGTGACACAAAAGAAATCCTCCGACCTCTCCATGGGATAAATAACGACCAGTCATTGACCGTTATTGTTACGGTCAATGAAAAATATCAAGACTTCAACTTCTTTCCATTTCACTGCGCTCAAGCCGTTTGTGTGCGCGCTAGAGAGAAACAAATACTTGTATTCGTCGGCACTAACGAGATTAGCTTCTATTTTTCTTCTCGGTTGAATCAAAGATTACAGGAAGAGTGGGTAAAATGATAATCATTATTGCCGTTTGCTCATGCCTTCACCCATTCACTCTCAAGATCTCATTGGTAATTCTCCTTACTATCCGCCATATGATTTTCATGATGAAAGTTCTGAGAATTTAGTATTGGCTCAACCAATCCCCCAATTGATATTTTTCTTTATTCTTATCACTTGTCTGCTTGATATCGTATTGATATTGTAAGGAAAATTCTTTTAGGGTCACTCATGGGAGTGAAAGGGTTAACTCAGAATTGTCTGGCGGAAGCAGAAGGGAAAACGTTCCAAAAAGTCAGTAAGTTCTTTTTAAAGCCCATAGGCTAATCAGCCGCTTCCAAGTGGTGTAGGATATCAAGACTTCATTCCGTTTACTTTGTGGCGGCGGGACTTGTTTCACCACAGTCCAAGGTTCTGAGAAGTCGAAACAATCCTGCTGCTTCTCTAATGCGACTGAACTCAATACAGAACGCTTGAACTTCGATGAAAAGGTCCTGAAAAAAAGTGGAAAAAAAAAAAATAAAAAACCCCAACAATAATTTGCTAAGCCACATGGACTTTCTCCTGGCAATTTTCCTGAAAACATGGCAGGCCTCTTGGTAGGCTGTCACGGATCTTTAGCTAGTAACAGAGGATAAATCAAATGACTGAGCTATTCAAAGGGGGAGGGGTCTCATGTCTATCTCAGCGCTGCTATCGAGTTTCGTTTACTAACGAAACACGCAACACGCCTGTTGCTTTCGAGTATCTTTCAGACCCTAATCAACCCATCTTCACTCAAAACTACTTGTGTCTCTAGATGCGATGATCGATCTTCGGGTAAAATCTTAATTCCAAAGTTCAAATGACTTATTTTGAAGTAATCTGCCCTTCATAAATGTCGAGCTCTCATTTGGCTTGATAGCTCAGTCGGTTAGAGCACTGCCTTTAGATCACCGGACAGTCATGAGTTTGAGTACCTTAAATTATTCTCAGAGCTTTATCTCCCTAACTAATAAAGTTTTGTATAGAAATGAGACGATTCTTCTTTTGTTAACACCACCTTTTAAGGTAACATACTCGAATCCGAAATTAACATCATTTGACATACGAGTGGTCTCATAGAGGGCGGTGTAATGAAATTAGGAAATAGAGATTGTTTCGGAAGTGACATGGTTGACACTCGCCGACATTTCAATGAATTTTTTGAGTTCCTGTGGGTCTCATTTACTCATTAAGGCAAAGACGCCATCAGGATTAATTGTAATCCCCGCTGAACAACGATCCAATAACGGCAGGTGGTGTCACACGATGACCTTCCAGGAGCGTGAGATTGTCTCATTCATTGGAGAACTGCAAACAAAACTTCACTACGCCAGACTTAACAAAAGTAAGGGCAGTTTAGATTAGAGACTTTCTTTGTTCGCCATTCTTCTTTCTAATCAAATTCTCTTTATTGTATTTATAGTCCTTGATTATTTACCCACCTTTACGTCTATAATCTTGTTACGAATCAGAGACTGAAGAAAAACACAAACCTGCAAGGAAAAGGAACATGAGAAAGCTTGGCATTCAAGGTTCAACTTCTCTTAAACGGACACTGAAGGGAAAAAAAAAACAAAGTGTCCGTAACAACGATGACTAATCAAGTGTCATTTGGAGAAACAGGCACGACCGTCTTAATATGCTCTATTAAGTATTGAAGCACTGTCTAGCTGATTAAGGACACGAACCACACCGCAATACTACAACTAAAAAATAATGTTATTTAAAGCATCTAAGACACGTGATAAAAACATAAAGAAGTGAGTGGAGCGGTTATGAATATGGAGTTGAGTAGGAAGTTTGTCTACTCATCTTTGATATGCACATAAATAAGTGCCGACATACCAGTCTGACAAGTCTATTCTGCATATATTTATCTTTAATATTTTCACAGGTGGAAATACAGTTCGAGATGTAAAGATGAACAAACTCTTGAGGAAGATCCACGGCCTGAAAAAAACCAAGCAACAAGAACTAAGCTGTATTATAATACATAAAATATTTTCGTTCGCAAATTTGTCCTTAAAGATTATCTTACTATCTTAAGTGAAAACAACCAAACTACCTAAAGCTCGGGAAAACGTGCTTTGTGTTAGTTTTGAATCCGATTGGTTGAAAGAGTGGCGCGAGTTTTTTGGACCAATCACAGAGGGAAAGCAAAACCAAAACAATCCCGGATTACATTCGACACTCAAAGTTGAAAATTTCTCTTATATCTACTTACCGTTGTTAGTCTGTTGACGACCTCCATTGAATGCAGAGACATCTCCATGTTCACCAACACGGAGAAATACCTGATTACAACAGAAAGATTTTTAGTTCCTGCCATTTGCGTCGAATTCTGAATCGTCAAACTAAGACAGCCAAGTCATTAAGTGATTCTATAAAGGCAGCATCTACGGTCGAAATTTTAAACCCATTTCGGGACAATTTTAGAAAAGCAAAGTTACTCTGAGGAATCGCATAAACTTATTATTTCTGAGAAAAGGCAATCAGCCGTTGATACCTCGCTCGCCTTTCGCACTACTCTATCAGATTATTTATGAATGGCACACTGTTCGCCATCCTCAATCCGTTCTCATTCATTCACTGAGTCGCCTATTTTGTCAGTAAGGGCCTATGGTATTGATATAATTAACAAACTAATACATGGTTGTTTGTAGATATGAAATTTCTCTTCTCATGTTCAGCTCGATATGTCAGGAGTGAGCGTTATGGTTTCTGGGGCATACCGGTCTTTTAAGGCTGGTTTGGAGAACGCGGACTTGATGGTGAAGTCGTTCCCTAATCCTGGGTTCACTTAGCATTCACTAACCTTGAGGTTATTGATTGCTACCAAAGAACTTTGTCTGAATGCAAATCTCCAAACTACCGTGATACATAACCTGTATTTCCTGGCAAAAACTTGGCTTTGAATCGACTTAACTTTCCACCAACGACGAGTGGCTACTTACTCTGTTATTTGATTGGACTGCATTAACTTCAGTAGGACTTCAATGGCAATCAGTGGATTATTCTCCACAAGATCAGGAAGCTACAAAATACAATCAAGCATGTAAATACTGGTAACAGGAGACAGAGCTGAAAAAGGGCTTCGCATGCCACGAACGTTGCGGGCTCATGTGTGAAACCAATACAACATTGTAGTAAATTGACAGATTTTTGGAAAAGCTGAAAAGCGGCGAAGTTTTAAGCACCGGTTATGGCGTGAGGACAGTGTTTACTTATGGGAAACCATGTTTAAAGACATTATAGAGTCCAACATCAAACGAAGGAATGTGAAGGTCAGACACAAGTCACTTCCCTGGATCAATACCGAAATCAGAAAGGCTATGAATCAAAGGTATAAGTGTTTAAAAGCTGCTCAAGGTAAACCCCATGATAATCCTCAGTGGGACATCTATAGAGCTAAAAGAAACGCTGTTAGAAGTATGCTCAGAAAAGCTGAGGCCTCTTACTGGATTGGGCTATTTAAAGAATCTTCTTCACCTAAAGATTTCTGGAGAATATCTAATCGTATACTTGGTAAGATCAAAAGTGATAAAATTGGTCCCCTACAAGATTCTAATAACACTATTATTTCAGATGATAGGCAGAAAGCGAATTTGATTAATAACTATTTTATTGATATTGCACATGATCTTACTAAGAACTTGGATCCAGTACATTTAGATACTACTTTTTATATTAATAGAATTACTCCCACTATAGAGAATTTTTCTTTGAATTGGGATATAGTTAGAGATGTTTTGAAGTCTATTAATCCAAACAAAGCAGTAGGCCCTGATAATATTTTTCCTAAAGATCTTAAATTGGCACAGGACTCTGCTATTCAGGGTCTGCTAGAGGTGTTCAAAAAAAGCATGGACTGTTGTAAGTTCCCTCAACAATGGAAGGAGTCATTAGTTACACCTGTTTTTAAGAAAGGGAACAGGCTGGATCCTAACAATTACCGACCTATATCCTTGCTTAGTACACCAGGAAAGCTTCTTGAGAAGGTAGTGTGTGACTCACTTGATGATCACATGTTATCCAATGGCATTCTCACAGATAGACAATGGAGATTTAGGAGGGGCTATTCAACGGAGAGCCTCCTCCTTCATCTCACTGAGTCCTGGGGGAGTGCCCTGGATAGAGGCCATAAGGTTGGAGTCTTATTCATTGATTTCCGCAAAGCTTTTGATTGTGTCAACCACAGTATTCTTACTGAGAAACTCAAGGCTGTTGGCTTGGCAGGTGATATGTGGAAATGGATCAATGACTATCTCTCCAACCGTGTACAAGGGACTAGTGTAAGTGGGTCTAGATCTGATAGAATCCCCATTAGAGCTGGGGTCCCTCAGGGATCCTTACTAGGACCAAGATTGTTTGCATCTTATGTTAATGACCTCCCTGAATCTATTACCAGTGGAGAAGTCTATATGTATGCTGATGACACAACAATATATGTAGTAGGGAATACTGTTGATGAAATAACAACAGGGTTACAGGCTGTTTTGGACCAGGTTAATTCCTGGTGTCTTAGTAACAGATTGATTCTACATGAAGGTAAATCCGAGGCAATGGTCTTAAGTACTACCCCCTTCATAGGTCCTTTGAAACAGCTGAAGTGGGGTATGGACACCATTCGGTATGTGTCCTCCACCAATTGCCTTGGGGTTACAATTGATGATAAACTCTCTTGGTCTCAGCATGTTGCATTGGCTAGATCTGCATTTAATGCCAAAGTTAAAATGTTGAGACGTATAAATTTCCTATGTACATCTATCTTGGAGACTTTTTACTATAGGATAGTTATACCAAGTGTTCTATATGGAATTGCAATTTGGGGGTCTGGATCCAAGCTTAAAGATCTAGAAATGATTCACATCAGGGCTGCCAGGCTAATTCATAAGATACCAAATAGTTTTGGGGATAATGATGTACTTTCTAAGGTTGGCTGGATGCCTTTAGAGTATTTTTATAAGCTACGTATCTTAACTATTACATATAATGCTTATTATAATTTAGGGTTGCGGGAAATTAATTGTTTGGTGACCAAGAACTCTAACAGTTATAACCTAAGGAAATCCCTGAATGTTGTACTTAATAGGCCCAAAACCGAATTGGGTCGTAGGTCCTTTGCTCATAGATCTGCAGTAGCATGGAATGCACTTCCCGATAATGTTAAAGATTCTCCAAATTTATCTATTTTTAAATATAACTTAAAACAATCCAAGCAAACTGTTATGAATATTAATTTTGAAAAGGGAGGTAATGTTATACAAAACATGAAACCAAATTTTCACTATTACTAAAACTTTATGGTTTACTTGATTTGTTCAACTTATAAATTTTATCATATCTGTATTTTATATAATTATAGACTAATTAGTTTAGGCAGGTCCACATCAGCTGTAAAGTTGCGCAAATTTTAACCTGCGTTATCAAATAAAGTTATGTATGTATGTATGTATGTATGTATGTGAGTAGAAAGGTTAAGCTTGAAAATTTAATTACAGAGAGTCCTTTAAAAAGGCACAAAATATTTTTTGCACAGCAATTTCTTCCTTGACACATTACTTCATAAAAACAACTCCCATGCTAAAATGTTCCGAGTTACCTTATTAGAATCAAGTCCACGTCCACATTACCTTATTTGGAGTAAGCCCCACGTGATATACGAGCTTCGGATCTTTTTCGAGTTCACTTAGGACTTGCTAAATGAGAAAGAAAACAGCTTAAACGAAACTTTGGCGTACGTCTCGCACTAAAATTTGTACTCAATCAGCGAGAAAATTGGACAAGCTGTGTTACTAAAATGTATTTTCATATCGACAGAGTGTTACACTTTTAAAGTCACTTAAACGTAAAATCCCGCAACGTGTCCTTCGCAAATAAGGGCATTTCATATGACAGACAAGCACTGGAACAAAATTAGTTCTCACTGTTACCCGGGAAGAGGCACCCACAGCGATAAACAAAGATGGGAATGTTTCAAAATGGCCGCAATAGTGTGAGTTTTCTTTAAGCAATGAACAGTTATAAGAATGTTTCACAAGCGTTCTTCACCTGTTGTTGTTGCATGACCAGAGGAGCCTTGAAAGCTTTGTTCATCAAACGACGAACTTCGGCACCTTACGAGATAATAATAGGGATAAAAAAATTGGACCATAAATATTCATTTGCTATGTAGCTCTTACTTATAAACATTCAAAGGAGATGTAAAGATTATATTTGTAGTATTCAGCACCAATCAAGACTACATGGTAGCTTTCACTGAATATGTACAGGAGCGAAAGTAGCAAAGCCAACGGAAACATAAGTTGTCGAAGCTACTTAAAGTACATAAAAAGAAAAGCAACCAACTCTCTCTGTATGGTTTGAATCATAGGTAAACAAAAAAAGTAAGTTTAAATATTCGGCAATCGTCTTTCCAAATTTGGTTAGTCTTGACTTTACGCACTCGACCCAGTTTCCCAAATAAACTGTTCAAAACACTGACTTACTGACCAGCGCTGTTTGTAACACACATGGTACTGTCCCATTCAACAGTATGCACTTCTCCAGTAGGGTTCATCCATACAAGCTACAAACCAATAATAAATAATAATCAAATATAGTTTGAGATTGATCAGAACAAAAAAAAAACTCTCTTTCAGATTTTTGCAGAATCTGAACATGTTGTACTGCCGTAGCATTTTTAAAGATATGTTGAAGTTCAAGTGAGGCCTAAAGCTGCTGTTAAACCCTTTAACTTCCAGAAGTGACTAACATGTAACCTCTCCCTTTCACATCCAAACAACATCCAGTAAAAAGGTAATGAGAATACTGAAACTCATCTGGTAGAAATTGTAATCTTGATTTAACACCAAATTCTTGTAACTATTTTAAACAGAATTGTGCAGCAGCTACAGTGGAGAATTAACCATCTGATCTTGGGAGTTAAAGGGTTAAAGAACTAGTTGGGTGCTACTTCCAACTGAGAGCTACATGCCAATGGATTCTTCTGTACTGCGTCTTCCAATAGCAAGGACAATAACCTGAACAGTTTAGGGTGAGGTCTGTGGTTTTCAGGGTGTGTTAATAAGGGGATGCGTGTGTGAATGGACATCTCCACTGCGCACGATGGGAATATGAAGCACCCTTGCAGAGTTGAGTTTGATTGCATGAATTCACTAGCTATGTCATGAGAAATGTTTGATGTCATGAGTGCTGTACCTCGTCATCACAGGAGTACAGTGGAGGTGGTATTCTGGCAAACACTGGTCTCAGATTTAACTCAGATGGTGGATTCAGCCCTGTTAAATGGAGATCAAACGCAGAATGAAGGAAAAAGGACACAAATTTCTGAGAAAGCAACTCAAAATGTGCTGCTATACATAAATCAAACCTCTGTTTGGCTTAATTTGACTAACACTATGCCAAACAATTTTCAAGCAGAGAGATGTTGCACAAGAGTAAAAATATAAAAATATATAACAAAAAACTAATGAGAATTCTAAACTCTGTTTGATAAGTCATGTAATGGGGTACAATTTGTAAGCACTTTGAGGGTTTGACCGGTAAAGGCCTTGGAAAAATCAGACACTGGCCACAAGGGAAACACACTGGGTCTGCTGTTTTAAGTTTCTCTTCAAAGCCCACACAAAACTATCAACCACAATGAAGCTTGAATGAAGAATTCCCAGACTGACATTTTTAAGAATGACACAGACTGAAGTAAATCCCACCTCAGAGAAAACAAACTTAGAAATTTTACCTCTTTGTATGGCTTTGAAACAAACAGTTGGTTTCTTTAGCTCACCTGTGACAAGAGTCTCCGTGATTTGTGAAGCTGCTGTAGAATCAAACCCTGAACTGTTAAAATGAACAAAAGTCAGGTTTAAGTTAAAGTGGTTTGTAATTACAGGAATACAGTGTAAAAGAATTCTTATTTAGCCCATTTTTCCCCTCCTTTGTAAGCAACCCACTCTTAAAACAGTAATTTATGCTTCCTCTCTGAGAAATAATACTTTTCTTCATCCCACATGGGTGGAAAATGGTTAACATCTCTGCTTGATTGAAAACCAAAATGATGAAGTTCAACATTGACCATAAAATTATTCCAAAGTTGGACAAGTATGAATGATAAATTTGTGATTTCCTTTCACCAAGGTTGTCTTTTTTGGTTTACATTGAGGTCTTTATCCTCCACAAGATGTTTTATTGAGACATGGAAAAAAAATCAATAGAAACACACTTCAAATAGCTCATCTCTCAGCTCCAAGTTCACTTTAAATATTTACAACAAAAGTGGCATCAAGCAGAGGTCCATTAGTCTCTTGATGACTGCCTGCTTATTACAGTGTTTGCAGATCACAGGTTTAGAAAATTTAACAAAAGAAGTAAATACAAAAAATTATATGATAAGCAACCTTTAGAATTGGCTGCTCTGCAGAGACAGAATAAAATCAATTACTGGAAACACATTTAAAAAGTAACAAATATGCAATCTTACAATGCAACTGGATAAAATTGAAACTCTAATTTCTCCATAATCTGTCAATTAAATAATGTTTTTGTGTCTATCTCTATTCAGTAGAGGTGTCTAATGAATACAGCCTAATTTTACATTATATATAGAAGAAGACATTTGTAATAAGGCTAATAACATCTGCTTAACATATCAGGAGATCCAGATAAGACAGGTTTCATTGTATTTTATGTAATTACCTGACATCTGGGTCAGCATCAGCCAGTACTGCTGGCAGTCCACAGCAGCTCAAGTCAGGCAACTGAGAATTTTTCTCTGTCAGAGCCAACTGCAGGGAACTAAGATCAATGTTCTGGAGAGAAATGCATAAATAGTGATATACTGCTATCCAAAAATTATCTTCCATAACTGAAATTTAGACCACTTACATCCCACAACCACTTGTGAAGCTACCAGAAAGATAAAGCAGAAAAACTGTAACAGCCCTGAAATACTTACAAATACATGTATGAATGTGCATGAATTCTTTGGACCACCCAAGTGCAGTTCTCTCTAACTGTACTTTATCATAGATCTTTGTTACTGTGCACACTATGATTGGCAATTTGGTGGACTGTATTTCAATGTACAGCCCACTAAATTCAAAAGTCTCTTTGAATTGAAATCTTTTCCCTCTGTTTGCCTCCAGATATTTCATGAATATCTTACTACCCTTTTTTTCTTGTTCTGTACTGTAGGTTACAGATCCCCATTTTTTCTGCCCAGATATTTTATGATTAGGGCCATAAATCCAGGCCAAAAAAAAAAAAAACTCAGAAAATAACTTACAGTACAGACATTAACCCTTGGTTAGTAGAAGGTATAAATCCACATGAAAGTGATTTAAAAACTTTGATTGTTTTTAGGTGATGGTGTTTGTGTTTTACACTTTGAATGCGCACAAATTGACATCATGAAAAAAAAATTCAAATTCAAACACACATTTAAACAGCACAGCTAAGAGTTATTGCCTTGATAAAGATAGTGACAATTTCCCTATCTACAATAATCTTAGCACTTCCATCACACACTTCACAGTATTTAACTCATTTCATATGTAAAAGTACATCATTTTGCATTCCAAATCATATCTTACCTGCCCTCCCCCAGGAAAGTCGAATGCTAAAACTTGACGGGGATTTTTCTTTAGAAGCTGAAAAAAGGAAAAAACCAACAAAGTCCTTGGCAGCTTTCCAGTTAAAAATTATTGTTTATGTAGATCTAACATCTACATCATTCTATTACCATACATCTCTCGGTACAAGCTTTCGTATTTCTTTGGTGTTCAGTTACAGGCAACTGGATTTGAAAAGTAATGATGAGCACTGTAATGGAAAATACCGCTGAAATTCTACTAATGGCTACCCTTCTACATCAACCACCTGCCAAACACAGCAGGCAGATCAAGGATTAAGGACAACTGTATATCCAAAGTCTGCAAAAGAATGTTTACATTACACAATTTTCATGTTACTTAAAGTTTGCTTAATACTCACATCTCTTGATGGAGTGGTGATGAGAAGATACAAGAAAGATTTCTCAGCTGAACCCAGTGCTGGTAGTGATTCAAGACCACTGATCTTGTTTTCATCATTTGAACTCTAAAAGTCAATAACAAATAAATGAAAAAACTACTTGTAAACATGTTTTTGACCTATTTACCACCTTAATCCTATCTTCACCCTAACATTAGTATGCTTATTCTCCAAGCTGTTCTCCATAAATTTCCTAAGGTGCTGACTAGAAGAATTTGTTAAACAATCAAGGTGATTATTTCCTTTGTCCTTGTGACCCTACTGTTTGATTCTGTAAGGAGAAATTAGATGCTAGTAACTCTTGAGGATCAAAGGACTCATCAATTTGCCATTGTAAACAAAGTAAAATGAAAATACAAGCCTTTCATGTTGTTAACATTTGAATAACCAAATAAATTAATCAAACAGTTTGTTCTCCACTGGTTTGTGTAAAATCTGATCTGGGCACCTCCATGACACCACAAAAGATGGACGTCACTTTATTGTACCATCAATTTCCTTTATTCTTACAACCCTAATATGTGATTCAGGGGTGATACTGTAAGGAGAAATTAAATGTAAATGTACTTAAAGGTTTAATCAAAACTATAACAAAATTCTTGAATGTGATTGGCTATCACCAGGGCACAACTAGGACAGCATATACTTCATGCTCATAATTCCACAGTGCAATAGGATAGCTGAACAAACAGTTAACACATCATTCCTGTGTAACTGGAAAGAACATGTCATGTATGAGCTGTTGTCTTGCATTTTGCCAAGTTAACTTTTTTCTCTATGAAAACACAACCAGTGTGTAGTTTCTTTAGCAAATTTTGTCAGAGTTTTGATTAATTGGTGACAGGACTTTGTGCTGTCCAATTCTGTCTGCAATGATACTCTTCAGTTGATTTACAAATTGAACAAGAGCAAAGCATAATTTTATGACAGTAATAGGACCAAGAAGAGTCCAATTCTGTCTGTAATCATATCGGTGATAAACAAAATCTGATAAATGCAAAGTAGGAGTCCAATTTGTAAATCATGAGCATGATTACAGACAGAATTGGATGACACAAAGTCTTGTTACCATAAATAATCTACACAACTGGATGCATGGCATACTCACCAGAACATGGACAAACACAGACGCAAAAGGGTTATTAGCTATAGGCTCCACTTTATACATTTCGTACAACAAAAACAGGACTACAATTCTTTGGATGTTTAATGGCAGTAAGTCAGGTTGTTGTAAGAGCATAAGCTGTAAACAATTGGACAACAAAAAATGTTATAATGATGCTACACATGTGTGTATGTGTTATTCAAATTTCATAATCTTCTGCTATCATATCTAATAATTTATAGGATTTTGTGGCCCAAGATAACCATAGCCAACCACATGGACCACAGAAGAAAATTGTTACCCTGGTGGTTATTGTGTTAGACTGTGGAATTGGCCAAGGCATTGTGTTGTGTTAACAGTCACTGTGTGTGTGCTTTTTTCCTAAACTTTGTTTATAAAATGGGATTAGGAGTTTCCCTTTGCTATCCAATTTTTACATGTAGATCTCAGTCTCAATTCAAGTAGCACCAAAAAACTCTAAAACTGACACATAATTCATTACATGTACTGTACAGATGAGAACTTAAGAGGTAAATGTTATTGTGCTGCACATACCATTGCACTCCCAATTTGGAAATGTTCATTTTTGTTAAATCTCTGGTGTAAGGAGGAAGCAATCGCTTCAAAGGAAGATGCAGCAAGGGAATCTTCAGCGAGGATACTAAGAGATAAACAAAACAATACATGAAGGGCACAGTTAAACCCTTTAATTCCCTGATCAAATTTGTAATTCTCCTTACTGTCAACCGTACAATTCTTAAAATGCTACTTCAGAGAATTTAGTATTGAATCAACAAATTATTCCTAAATTGATATTTTTCTTGATTCTCATCACCTATCTAGTTGATATTGCCTTGATATGGTAAGGAGAAATTCTGTCTTGGGCACTCATGGGAGTCAAAGGGTTAAAGATTTGTTCAAGTCACTGCAGCTGTATTGCAGTTGTAAATTCTGTTGATGATCATGAGACTTCACAAGAACATTACTTAACAATGAAATCACTCCAACTAAATATTCTTAAAACACACAGATAAGGCTTGAGATGTTTTTTTTCTCTCTGTGTCCATTACTTGAGGTCCCGGTAAAATTTCCGCACAGCCCCATACTGTTGTTAGTCAAATCTGTTGTCCCAATGGCAATGTATTGTTTTTGTCGTTCTTTTCTCTATCCAAGAACTGAATGCATAATGTAGTATGGGGCTGTGCGGAAATTTTACCGAGATCCCTTGTGAATAAACTGTGATCGTTTAATAATTTGATACACTTAACCAGACATAGAATCAAGCTCACAACCTCACATCATAATGAGAAGTTTACAAGTTTGCTTTCAATATCATGAAATAAACGAGAAATAACCTACCTCAAAAGTGAGGACAATTCTTTAGGAGTGAGTGTCATGGTGAATTAAACACCAAAGCAACCAAGGAGACGAGAAATGAAAAGAAATTGTTCCACACTAATCCACGCCGATGGCTACCAGTCGGCCATGTTGGATTACAACTAGTGCCATACTCCCTCGGTGAAATGAATAAACATGCGCCCGCGGTCACTTAGTTCTGTGTAGAAGACGCGGGAAAGATACCTAATTCTTCTCTGGAAACAGCTGTTACACAGGCAGCTACGCTCTTAGAGAGAAGCTTTGAAACATTCTATGGGTCGATAGATTCACTGTTTCCTAATCATTCCCAGCAATCACCAGCGTGTGACGGCGTTGCCAAGGAGTTTTAGAGCCGTAAGAAGTTTTAAAGCTGTCAGCCCGTCGTCGGAGCGAGCTCTAAAGAGGCCTACAAGTCACCTTAGGAAAGAATTACCACAGATGCTTTGGAAACCAGTCACCTCATTTGCGAGCGAAGATTAAAAACTACCCATCTGTTTTGCTTCGAAAACTCGTTAAGTAATCTATCTCTTGATCACGGCTGAACTTTCATGGCCTATCGAAAGTCTTACCTTAAATTCTCGATTTAGCGCCGCCCCTAGAATGGCGTTCCCTTCGACAAAGTGTCGCTCCTGTCGGAGGAAATTTTCAATCAGCATCCTTACTCGGCTTGAATAGGTGCCTCATCCACTCCATTACTCTTCGCCTGGTTTAAAGCACTGGCGCTAAGTGAAGGATGTACATTGTTTACAAGTTTAATTCATCACTCTCGTCCGACCTGAGCGCATTTATACAGCACTTATTTCAGCTTGTAAACATGGTAAATATGAGATAGTTGCGACTCTCAATTGTGCCGCTTAAAAACTTTTGGGCCAGCTTTAAAACAATAACTCCAGCTTTTATTTTGTATCCACATGCTAACACGGTGATTAATTCTGCCTCGAGCCAATCATAAATGGGCACTAATCATTCTTTTGAAAAAATTACGGAACTCCAACAACAAGGCCCAATCATAAAGCTCATTCTAGTGGAACTTCTGAACGCTGTTTTTGTTTCAACACAGCCTTTTGGCTTAGTGAAGAAACTCCAACCAATGTCATTAAATATGATCCGAAACAATTTAAACGTGGACTTCTCTTCGTCAAAGATAGAGGAAATAGATTAAGTTTCAATTTACGTTTTAACCTGCTTAATATCAGCCTAAATCTCAACTTCAGAGAGAAATGTGGTATTTTTGAAGAAGACAGAGAGCGCAGAGTCTTATGACCAGCTATTATACAGTGGTTTCAGTGACTTTTCCATAAGTGTTTTCGGTTGTTGTAATAGGCGGTTGTGCCTGCAAAAGAGCCAAAAAGCTACACCCAAACACGAAGCACCCTCGTGGGCAAAACAGACGGCGGTGGGCGGTCTTAACGGCTGCGGTACACCGCCGGGAACCGACTTCCATTAAAATCCCTGTTATGCTTTGGGCTCCCAGTTTTTCCCCTCGCCTGTGCGCATTATCCGTCACCCGGGTGACCACAAGCGATAAGACAATGTCTTTCTCTAAATGGTTATATTAATTTATGGATAAAAGTGCCTTTAGTACTAGAAGGCTTTAGCACCATGTGCTTACAAATTACATACAAAATAACTAATTTATCTACTGTGCGATAAATGCTATGTTTTCTTTACTGGAAGATAAACTTATGAAGTAAATTACGACATTGCCAAACATAGCCCTCGCAGAGACAAGCGCTTGGTGACTTTACCGAGGATGTTCGGGTTAACTTACATGACGTAGTATGCCTCTTTTTCATATAATTGAACTGATAACTAAACGTGACAGTTAAAAATCTCACAAAGTAACACGAATTTTACGCGGTGCACAACGTAGGCACATATCAATGGTTCAACGACTACAGAAAAAAAATTCGAATACAAAGCATATCAAGCATTCCAACAGTACATCATCAAATTTAGCAAAAGCACGTTTACGGCGACAAGTCCACTTCATTAGATATATTGAATTGTCTATTACAAGTTGTATTGAAATAGGTTCAAATTATTTTAAAAAAGGTTTAAAATGTAATCATTCGAGAGCAAAAAGGCTTATTGTTCTCTGCCTTTTAATTGAAAACTACTCTTCTAATGAACTGAGAATCGTGGGTGTCTGAAAAACTACAGGATTTCTTAACCGAGTTACACATTCGGCGAAATTTCTCAGTCGTGTAGATAAATATTTGGTCACTGACAAGTCCTTAAAGGCCAAAACATTAAAACTTCCTCTTGTATTTGGTCAAAAATATCCCAAGCAGACAGAATCAAAACATTGAATCTAGTTTCAGTCTGTAGGAAGAAGATTTGTTCGAGAATGAGTCCTGAATTTGTCAAATTTTATCCACACGAACTTTCTGGAAATTGCTCAGTTATTTGCAGTTGCCTCTCTGCCTCATGATTTTTCTATGTCGCTTGGACTTCCATGGCACAATGGCCTTTACGATGTACTTTGTCTTCTTTCCTATTTTCCTGTCAAGTATTATCAAGTGTGTAACCTCTTTCTTCACTCTTCCCGCCACGTTCTTGCAGCCTTTTCTTGGTAGCAGCACACGGTCGATGCTTTCGACAGCTTTCTTCGTCTTTCTCTGGCTGCGGGATCCTTGCCTGGCAGATTTCTTGTGCCTCTTGATTTTGATCAAAGTGTAGGAGCTGTCACCTTTTGATTCTCGTGTTCCCAACACCTCTGCGCGAATAACTGCGTTGAAAAAACAAATAGCAAGTTTGAGAGCTTTCTAGATAGAGGGGCGGTTTTGTATCTCTTAATAATATTCTCTGAAGTTTTCCTTCGGCATTCTACTCATCAATCTTCTCTGTGCTTTCAACCTCTGATTCACCCGCAGTAGATGCATTTCCTAGTTTGTCTTAACAGTTAAATTCAATCAAATGTAACAATTTTCATCAGAAAATGGTGATAGATAAGGCCACGTAGCCAGAATTTAAAGCTACAATTTGACAAAAAAAAATCAAAAACAAAATAAGGAAACGAGTAAAAGAAAGAAAAAAGAAAAAAACTTTGAATTTAAGACATAAATTTGATTGTGTTTGCATTGGGGTAAGTTCGTGGTTAGCTTCGGGGGTCTTGGAAATCCATCAGATCTTGAGGGCACAGTGGATGTCTGGAAAGTAAAGCTCAATAGCTTAAGACAGACGTGGGTGGTAATTTACAAAATTTGCAAAGTATTTTCTTTTTTAGCCACGAGGAAATTTTAGCTTTAGCTAGAGTGATCTTCGTGTCCCATGAATGCGAAGACAACACTCATCTCTTCTGTCCAATCTTAATTGATCTTAGCAAAACAATATATAAGATAAATTTAAATCAGATTTTATGCTTTTATCGTTTCTCTTTAAGTCTCCGACGACCTTCTTTTGACCTTGGCGACTGCAACCTATTTTCAAGCTTAACTGACTAGAGATAACACCGAAATCTAATAATAATAATAATAATCTAGCATTATGAATCTGGATAAAGCAAGTCATTTTAAGCTGTACTCCCCATAACGGGATAAATGCCTATACCTGTGGCAATCTAGTGTTATCTTTTGTAAAATCATTTGATGCGTATGGGCTAAACGAAGCGTTTATTTCTTAGTCATTTTCAAGCGGTTTATTGCATTACTTTTTAGGTTTTTAAAACACTTCGTCCGAAGTAGGGACAAGCGATTGGTATTTAGCGGTATATGCTTCAGGTCTAGTTCTGCTATCCACAGATTGTCATCATTCTAATTACAAGGTGAACCGCTTCGATATTTCTAGACCTTGGGGCCAACTATGATGACACCGAAATGGAGTTGAGGTGAAAGAATAGCATACAAAGACAACAGTTTTTCGAGAATTAATTTGATAATTGCGACCATCAGCTCATCCACTTAGTTAGATCACCGAATGGATCTCATTTGTGAGCTTATCCTTTTTCCTTGATCATTAAACTTAAACCAATTTTGATCTTATTAAATTTTGTTTGTCACACAAATCAGATATAACATATTGTACTAAGCAGTTTTACGTTGCTAGGACAACTTCATCGCACAGCTTTAAAATCGACATCGGCCCTTTCGATTCTGGACCTGAACTTTTATTAAACTTTTGCCTATTTCAACGCCTTGGTTAAGTGCCAACACGGTTTTTGAGAGAAAAAGAATCATTCAAATTCATACCAATGAAAATTGTGTATTAAATAAATGTTTGGGCAGGTAAGTGACTTATATTCACCTCCTATTGGCGAAGGTTATCAAATTCGAAATATGTGTTTTTCTATGCCTGTTGCTTATCAAATGATAGGTCGCAGTTCTTTGAGGTGGTACAAAACTCCTGCCCGTATCACTCTTATCTCCGCCGTTTCAGACACCGAATTGATGTGAGTAGTATTTATCTGCAAAACCTCGACTGTTAAAAGGTTTAACGGTGAGATATGGTGGCCGATAATGAGCGGCTGCCGGGGTCAGTAAATTCACTAATCACTTTCTCGACTCCTCCACACAAACTTTGAACATCACAACCAGTTCAAACCTATTCTACCCAATTTGAAACATTTCATGGTTTATTACACATTAAGCTTTTAAATATAAAATTCTTATCTGGTCTTATGGTGCAAACTTTATCAGCAAAAAATTAATTCAAACGTCTTCGGGGTCGAAGTCAGATGTATTACGGGCGTTCGGTAATGGCTAAGAACAAAGCCTTTAATTCTCACAAATAGATATAAAAGATCCGGTTAGAATCGTCCTCTCCCAAAAAGAGATTCGAATGAACTAGGAAATGTAGAACAGAGGCATGCAAAACGATTTTTTGTTTGCAATTTTCTACGTTGTAAATCAATGGTTTTAGGTTTGATCAGACATTGGGTTCAATTTTAATTGGATAGCGTGTTAAGGAATCTGCCAAGATGACAGACGTGTAATAAATACGTTCATACGACGTAAATGCCGTTCACTTTAGCTAATTACTAATCAATCACTGCTCATTTTCGGCGCGCACTGAAGTACGTAGTCAAAACACATCACGATAGATTTGCAAGAAATCTCGCTTCACCTTTTAAATTTAACTTAACCCCAGACGGCTGTTTTCGCACAGAAAGCTCGAGGCACATTTTCGAGAGCGT